CAAATAGGATGGTCATAAATTCTGTGAGTCCATTGGACTGTGCAGGTCAAAAGAAAAAGCTGTTTACTTTGGCATTTCTCAAACCTTGCAAGGTGTCGTTAGGTTTCAGAAAATTGTTCCCTCTGGCAGACGTGTTTTTGACGTGATGCCTGTGGTGATCTTCCTTCTGGCAGCAGACCGCCAAGCCTCAGGAAAGCATTCATCCATCCTTTGTCTCCCTTCCCTTCTCCCTCCCTTTCTCTCCCCACCACTCCTTAGCCATTCTTCAGCCATTTTGATGCTTATAGATAAATACATAATCAGTAAGAAACACAACTAGCTATAAAACAGCTCTACTCATAGCTCTACCTGCTTCTTACCAGGCGCGGTTCGTTCTCATCTCCATAGACAAGTATACTTTTCATTATCATTAATTTTAAAATAACAGAAATAAGGCAACTATCTGGCGAGTATTTTTAGCCAAATGATATTCGTAGCTCAGGTTAAAATCAGAAGTAATTAAGATGTGTATATAGACATGAAGCCTGGTTTCAAAAAATGTATGGTGTTGTATGTATATACATGCTTATGTATGGACTGTTGAATAAGTATAAGAAAGGCAGTAAGCTAGAATGAACTTCCTTAGGCTAACTTTGGAAAGAGGAAAGGTGTCAGTAAGTCAAATAAAAATTTATTCTAGAAACCTGTAGAGTCACAGCAAATTAACTAAGAAAAAGGCTCTGAGCCATATGGGGCCTTACTTTGGAGACTTTATCCATAAGTGCAAAGAACAATTACTTAGTAACCAATTAATTCTAGCATCAAAATATAAAAAGGGACATCAACTGTTTGATTCATTTCATGAGCACGAAAGATTTTTGTTTCAGCAATTTGATTAAAATGTCTTTTAAAATTTATGAACTGGGATCATTAATTAGCAAACAAGTCAGTGCTATATTGCAATTATTATTTACTACAAGCAACTGAATTGTTCTCATGTTTATAGGTGGTATCTTAAAGGCACACGAGAGCAGAAATGCAGTCCTGGTCTTTGATTCCTCTCTTTCCTACTCTTCTGCATCCCATCCATGCCAGTCTTTGGGCTTCCTCCAGTGTGCATTAGGAATCTCTGTGGTCCTTCACCACAGCCACTACCTAGAACAAGTCGCCATCACCTCTCTTAGTTCCTGTAACTCTCTCCAATTTCAGACTCCCTGGTCCATTATTTCCGTTAATAGCCAGCTATTTACAACGTATAATGAGAATAACCTTTTAAATGTTATTCTCTTGCCTAAACCCTTCCAGTGTTTTCTCATGTAACTTAGAATAAGAATCTACCCTGTTCTAGTTACTTTCTGCTGCTGTGATGAAACATTGACCAAAACCAGTTTCGGGGAGGAATGGTTTTATTTAGGTTCGAGGTCCATCACCGACGGGAGTCAAAGCAGAAACCTGGGGTCAGGGACTAAAGCAGAGGCTGCAGGGGGCCAATGCTTACTAGCTTATTTATCATGGCTTGTTCAGCTTGCTTTCTTACATAATCCAGGAAAGGTTCTGTCCACGGTGGGTTGGACCTTCCCACATCAATCAGTAGTCAAGAAAGTGCCGCACACACACCTACGGGCCAGTCGGATGGATGCAGTTGAGGTTCCCTCTTCCCAGGTGACTCTAGTTTAATGTCAAGATGATGAAAACGAACCAGCTCAGTCCTGTAGTCCTCTGATCACATGAGCTGGCCACTGCTTGTCTTGCTCCTAGGTTTTCTGGGGTCTAGTCATTTCGCGCCAGCTTGTCTTCTTCTTATAGACACCCCCCCCCCCCCCCCCCCCCCCCGGTTGTGGATTTCTCTGTTCCAGACATCACTTCCCCAAAGAGGCTTTTTCTGGCCCCTCAGTGTCAAATAGCCTGTCTCCCACGCAGTCATGCTCCCTCTTCCAACCAGATTGATCTAGTTTCCTGTTGATTGATTGTCTTCTACCGAGGAATATGTGGCCCCTGTTCTCTGTGGTCTCCCTGGTGGCTCCCACAGCTTCTGAGATACCTAGTGAATATTTACATGGCCCTAGGATCTATAATAATAGAAAAAAATAGCTAAAATAGGACATTCTGCTGTAGAAATGATTAATGCTTGCAGTGCTTAGATGCTATTAGCTATAGGAAATTATGGTCAGTAATGAGAAAAAAGATGCTCCTAAGAACTGGCAATGTAGGAATATCATTGTGCAAGGCAGTCTAGCTTTTGCTTTTCTCCATACATTGTTAGGTTAGCAGACTCTTCAAAGTTCTGCTTGATGAACCTGTGTGTCTGTGTGGGTGAGGCCCCGCTCCTCCTCACCTTTTGACACTTACTAATAAAAAGTGGTTTGCAAGAGCTTTGATAATGTTTTTTTTCTTCTTTTTTATTATTAAGACATTTTCTATTCATTTTATATACCAACCACAGATCCCCTTCTCCTCCCTCCCGCACCCCAGCCTCTCCCCAACCCTCCCCCCACTCCCACCTCCTCCAAGGCAAGGTCTCCCATAGGGAGCCAGCAGAACCTGGTACATTTATGCACCAGGATGGATCCCGATCCCACCGTCAGGCCCCCCCCACCAAAAAAAAGTTCAAGCTAAACAACTGTCTCGCCTATCTAGAGGGCCTAGTCCAGTATCATGGGGGCTCCACAGCTATTGGTCCACAGGTCCTGGGTTTCCACTAGTTTGGCTGGCCATCTCTGTATGTTTTCCCATCATGATCTTGATGTCCCTTGCTCATAGAATCCCTCCTCTCTCTCATTGTCTGGACCCCCAGAGCTTGGCCTGGTGCCCGGCCATGGATCTCTGCATCTACCTTCATCAGCCACTAGATGAAGGCTCTATGATGACAGTTAGGGTATTCACCAATCTGATTACCGGAGTAGATCAGTTCAGGCACCCTTCCCCCTACTGCTAGTAGTCTAAGGTGGGGTCATCCTTGTGGACTCCTGGGAACCTCCCCAGCACCCTGTCTCTCCCTATTCCCACGATGTCTTCATCTACCATGCTATCTCTTTCCTTGCTCTCCCACTCTGTCCCTGTTCCAGCTCAAATATCTCATTCCCTTATGTGCTCACCCCCATCCAGTTGGGAATCTTTAAAGCAGTTGCTTTTGCACTCACATTCAGTTTTCCTCAGGATTCTCGGAGCTGTATATTCTTGCTATTGGATTATCTTTCTATTTTCTCATACATTGTAGACTCTCCATAATATTTTATAGCATTTATTAAAATGATTATTCATAGTTTAAAATTCAGCCTGCATTTATGAAGTGCCTCTTTTATGCAATGCATAGAGTCGGACAGAAAATAAAGGCAGTGGAAGGCATATTCTAGGTGCACATGGGGAAAATCCTCACTTTTGAAGAAATTTGAAGATTTATTTAATATGATAAGTTTGAATTTATAAAAGGGAAAATATATTAGCACACCAAATTGCAATAAAACATGTAGAAAGAAAGCCAAAAAAATCTAGAAAATGTTTTACTGAGATATTAAGTAAATCTTTCTATTCAGAAGATTTTGCATGTAATATAATTTTTCTTGAGAGGAAGTAGAATGCAGCAATCCATACATGAGGAAACAGTGACAGGAAATCTTTATGAAGAATATAGTTTTTCTGGCAATTAAAGAAACAGGGCAAACATATCCAAAGTTCATCTGCTCAGTAGAAAGATCATTCAGAGAAGCATGTGGTACAAAATTAGCATAAAAAGCATACTAGACAAAAGCAAAAATTTCAACCTTTTTATTTCCAAGCCAACTTTACTTTTTAAAAAAAAGTAATAGATTTTTTTTTTATTTTTAGTAAATTTTGTATATATAAAAGAATTATTTGAGACAGGGTCTCATGTATCCCAGGCTGGCCTCAAACTTATTCTGTAGCTGAAGATAACCCTAAAATTCTGATCTTTCTGAGTCCGCCTCCTAAGTGATGCAGTTATAGGCATTTGCCTCCATGCCCGGTTTATTCATGGTGCTATACCTTCTGTAGGTTTGGACATGTGGTATGGCATGTACCCAACCTATAGTACACTGAGTTTTGTTTTTTTCTCTGCCCCTAAACATCCCATGCCTGCTTCTCTTTCTTTCTCTCTGTCCTCTACAGAGTTAAGTGGGTTGGGGGCTGGTTTTGGGCAGCAGCACTCCGTGACTGCCCTCTGCTCCGGCAGTGACTCAGTGACTCTCTGTGCTGTTAACATGCTGTTTTGGGTTTTCCCAGCTTATGTAAATCACATGCTTTGTTGCCGTTTCCTAACGTTCCAGTTTTAAGCCTTCTATTTATCTTCCACCACAGAGAACTAGATTAAACTCTCTTTCCAGTACTGTCACAACACACACACACACACACACACACACACACACACACACACACACACACACACACACACACACACTGCTCTCTTCTTCCCCAAATGATTAAATTGTGATTTGGGTTGATTCAAGATTTGGTATTTTAAACTATAAACATCAGTTACAACCGAGTTACACAGTACGTTATAATTGCTCTTCCTTTTCCCACAACATTTTATTCTCCCTAGAGTTAAAAATTGTTGTGATTTTGATTTTCTGCTCCTTCTCTGTCATTAGCATCTATTCCACCCTAGAAGGTCACAGCTGTGAGCAACTTTGTTGTTGTTGGTTTTCTTCAGTGGGTTCAGTCATGGACATTCTATTATTTTTCTTGGGTTGAAAAAAAAATCTCTTATAGAATCTTCAGAGCCTTGTTAATCTGATGTTGTTCTCAGGATCTTCGAAGGTGATGAAACCATTGGTTCTCTTAGAGACTTGTTTACCTCACCATGTGGCTGTTGTTTCACATGCAGCTGCTGCTTTAAAAAGGATGGTTACTGGATCAAATCATGGAAAGCGATAGCAAACGTACTCGTGGTTCTTCTTTGTTATACTTGAGTCGACCTCTATTTAAACATGCAGACACGTTCTCTTACTTTTGATTGTCTTGTGCAGACCATGTGAAGAACTGCATTGTATTCTTCCTTGTAGGCTCTCAAACTTCGGGAGGTCTGTAATTGCCCACCACTCTCTGGACCAGACCCTCGGCTGCTGTTCAAGCTTACTGTGAAGCGTTTTCTTGAAGACTCAGAGAAAGAGGATCTAAACACCACTGTTAAGAAACAGAAAATGGATGCTCTCCCCATTCAGAAACAGGAACAGATACCACTGACATACATAGTTGAGAAAAGAACTACAGGTTGAACTGAAATGTGTGAGACTTGGGATATGAAGAATATAGCGATCTTCATCATTTTTATGTAACTCCTAAAAATGATGTTTTAAATGAAAAAAAAATGGATATTCAAGGTCAACTCATGTCTATTACAGATATCTGAATTTTTCTAGATTTGTATCTTTCATAAAATATTATTGTATTTTAATCTATTTTGAAATACTTCCAATGAGGAAAACATCACAGAATAAATTTATATTATCATCCATACCTGCTTTAGATTTGGAAGTCAGGCCCCTAGTGGATGCATACTCTGAGGGTAGTAATTATTATAAAGAACTTCCTGCCTACAGTGGGTTTTGAAGTCTGGGCGGTTATTAAATGGGTAACTGACAGTCTGGAGGTGATGGTCTGCACTGGGTTGTGGGGGTGTGTGGAAAAGGGAAGAATTCTCAAGGGAAATACCCCCAGGTGGATGTTAGAGGCCATTTCTATTTAGAGGCACAGAAAGTGCTGTTTGTGAGTCAGGTGACCAAGTGAGCCGTACAGTGTGTGTGGGGAGAGGTGTAGGCATACTGTGATGATGTGGGGATTTGGAGGTCCCCAGAGGACACTGCTGTGTTCCCACTGAGGTCGATACCCAGAGAGGCAGGAGTGAGTGCTCCCTCATTCTTCTTGCTGGCTAATGGCCAGGTGCTGTGGGAAGACATAGAGGAAGGTACTCCAGGAACATCCCTGGTGAAGCCTGAAGTTGATGACCATGTTGTGTAGGGGTGGAAGTAAGTTTTAAAACATGAGTTATTTAGGCAGTTTTACTTATACTCTCAAATTGGTAGCCTTAGGTTTTATCTTTTAGAGGGGTGGTTTTCTTGAAACACATTGTCTTAGTTAGAGTTTCTATTGCTGTGAAGAGACACCATGACCATGGCAACTCTTATAAAGGAAAACATTTAATGGGGTGGCAGCTTACTGTTCTGAGGTTCTGTCTGTTATCATCATGGTAGGACATGGCAGCATGCAGGAGTACATGGTGCTGGAGAAATTGTTGAGAGTCCTGCATCTTTCAGGCAACAGGAAATGGTCTGAATGTCATAGTGAGTGAAGCTTGAGACCTCAAAGCTTGCACCCACGGTGACCCACTTCCTCCAATAAGGCTGCACCTCTTAATAGTGCCACTCTCTTTGGGGGCCATTTTCTTTCAAACCACCACACACATTCAATAGATACTTCGTTGGAGAATTAAAAGTGAAAGAAAATTCTTTTTATGAGGAGTTACTGCTATCTAGGAGCTGAGCCTTTAAAAGGTTTGTTTTATTTTTACTTAAGCATACAAGTGGGGAGTATATGCAAGTGCATGTGATGCCCAAGGAGGCCAGAAAGGGTGCCAGATCCTAGAGCTGGGGTTACAGGTGGTGATGAGCACCTGACATGGGTTCCGAGAACTGAACCTGGGTCCTCTGAAGGAGCAGGAAGTGTTCTTAACTCTAAGACATCTCTTCTAGCCCTTGAGCAAAGCCCTTTTTATTTCAGTTATTACACAATCTTATGAGGTAAGTTTTATTTTCATTTTATGTTTATAAATGGGCTCGGAGAGGCTTAATAATGTGCCCAGTGTCTTTTACCTAGAAAGAACAAAATTATATCTCTGGTTTCCGGTTTGCTCATTTGCACAACTCTCACGTACCAAAGACAAAGCTATAAAAAGACAAGGAACAAATTGCATTCTCGATTATCTGCTCGTTTCAATACAGGTGAACTTCAAAGAAGTATCAAATCAGAGAAGTCTGTAAGTATTAAAGCACCGTGTTGTCTGCAGGTTGGCTTTCTAAGTGTTCTTAGATCCTTGTGTCAGTCTTCATGAGAAACTTGGGGTAAGGTAGAGTGGCAGAGCAGGTCCCCCGCCCCCAAAGCTTGTGAAATCTCACTTGGGATGTATCTTGATGCTCAGACAAAATGCCTACTTGTCAGGAACACAAGTTTGAGCCTGTTTATGTTTTTCTGGTCCTGCTGTCTTGTTTATAAAGTATTTCTTGATCTGCACACAAAACTGCAGTTGTAAGGGGAGTGTCACAGTAGCTGTTATCCATGTTGGCATCCTTTATGCTCCTGGTGACTGGTTTTGTAAGCAGCACCCCGTAATGTGTAAAGACGTTTGGAGAATGTCACCCACAGGTAAACAGCAAGGCTTTGACTTCTGTGGAGAGTTCCTAAGAAAATAGTGTACTGCAGTCCTTACTCTTCTTTTTTCTTCTGTCTCTCTGGCAAAGCTAATCCTATTGTTCAGATGTCTTAGAAACTGCATGCAAGTTGACACTATGTCAGAAAGAGCATGGATAAATTAATGACAATGTCTTTTAGTAAACATAAAAGTTTTTTTTCTTTTTATTCTTTCTTTTTTTTTCTTTTTGGTTTTTTGAGACAGGGTTTCTCTGTGAAACAGTCCTGGCTGTCCTAGAACTCACTATGTAGACTAGGTTGGCCTCGAACTCACAGAGATCCACCTGCCTCTGCCTCCCGAGTGGTGGTATTAAAGGTGTGTGCCACCGCCCTGCTGATACAAAAGTTTTTTAACTGTGGAATCAAGTAGAGAAATTTTGGATTTCACCTCAGGATGTTCTGGAGTCTCTTAGGAGAAATTAAATAGTGGTTGATGGTAAGATCCATTCAAGTTCTTTTTTTTTTGCCTCAAAAGGTGATATTTGGCCGGGCGGTGGTGGCGCACGCCTTTAATCCCAGCACTCGGGAGGCAGAGCCAGGCGGATCTCTGTGAGTTCGAGGCCAGCCTGGGCTACTAAGTGAGCTCCAGGAAAGGTGCATAGCTACACAGAGAAACCCTGTCTTGAAAAACCAAAAAAAAAAAAAAAAGGTGATATTTATTTATTTATTTATTTAGAGAGAAAACCAAAACCAACCAAACAAAAACAAAAACAAGCTGTCCATCCCTTGGCTCCCTTCCCTCCCCTCTCCAGATGTTCAGATGTTCCTCAGCCCCCTAGGACTGAACCCTGGCTAGGGCCAGGTAGCAGGACAGCCCCTCACATAAGGTCAGCAACATTGAGGGGCATCTCTTCAATGGAGGTGTTGTAGAATGTCTCAATTTCTCGAAGAGTCCTTTTGTTTCTTCTGTTACCATGTTAATAGCCACACTTTTACAGCTAAAGCGACCACCATGACCAATTCTGTGGATGTAGTTTTCCCTGTTGGTGGGAATGTCGTAAATGATGACTAGGGAAACCTGCTGTACATCAATGCCTCTGGCCAACAGGTCAGTGGTAATTAATACTCTGCTAGAACCAGACCAGAACTCCCTCATGATCACATCTCGTTCCTTTTGGTCCATATCTCCATGCATGGCAGAATAGTGAAATCCTGGGCATGCATCTTCTCAGTGAGCCAATCCACCTTCCTTCTGGTATTGATAAAGATTACGGCCTGGGTGATAGTCAGGGTTTCATACAAGTCACACAATGTGTCAAGCTTCCACTCCCTCCAGGGCCAATTCTTCCTTCTTGACAAGGATCTGAATGGGATCTCTTGTGAACTTCTTGGTCACTTCAAGGACATCAGAGGGCATTGTAGCAGACGACAAAACTACCTGTGTGTTACTGTTAAGCTTTTGGAATATATCATAGATCTGGTCCTTGAACCCACGGCTTATCATTTCATCTGCTTCATCCAGTACAAACATCTTGATGTATTTGGGGGACAGGTATCTCCAGTTAAGCAAATCAAACACCCGGCCGGGGGTGCCCATGATGATATGGGGAGCTTCCATTTGCATCTTCTGCACCTCAGCATGGACATTGGTGCCCCCAATACAGGCATGACAAGAGGCACCCATGTAGTCTCCTAATGCCATGACCACTTTTTGTATTCTGTAGCCCAGGCTGGCCTGGAACTCACAGAGATCTGCCTGCCTCTGCCTCCTGAGTGCTGAGGTTAAAGACATGTGCCACCACTGCCTGGTAGCATCTGGATTTTATGTGCCCTGGGCATGAAACAGCTTTGGCCACCAAGTCAGGCATCAAGCTAGGATGAACAAAGGACTGTCATCTGCTCTGCTCCTGACTGATATAAGAGCAACACCACCAACAAGGTGTCTCTTTGCCCATTGCCAGGGGTTCCATTCAAGTTCTTTTCCTGTGAATAGAGCATACAGATGTTGGGCAGTTAGCTCAGCTGTTAGGATCATGACAACAATAGATCCAAGGTACAAATTTAATTTAATTTCTCCTCTAATCCAGATCTACATATTTGCCATTTTATGTTTGACCCTAATAGTGCTTGGAACATTATAGGCATTCAGTTAATATTTTATTTTCATTATATGATCAATATAAATCATTTGTTCAAAGATTATTTTTAAAAGAGAAGGAACTATACTTGGTGAAAATTTTATTTGATACCCGTTAAGCACCTGTGGGTCCCAAGAAATTTTCGAGTCCTCATTCTTCTTTGGTAAATGAGCACAGTAAACCCTCAGATTCTGGTGCAGTTATTCTATGAGAGATACACATAGGGCATTCTGCATAGTCTAGAGTTCTGAGCACAATACAATTCACACCGCTTTTATGGGTGCTTTCTTTGTGCTAAGTGTAGTGCTAAAAGCACTATTGGACTTCACTGCACTCTTGTGTAAGGTAGATAAATATCACCCCCCCCCATTTCCATTGTAAATCAAGAAACTGAAGTTTAGAAGGATAATGAAAACTTGTTTGGATTAATCTGTTAAAAGATAAGGGACATTTTTTTTTTCTAGTAAGAACAGACAGAGAAACTGAAACTCTATCAATAAAATGTATTGTCTTACCTAATAAAATTCCCCAGAAGATAATAGTTAGGGATACAGTTTAATACAGAACATCATGATGTCATCAAAGAAGTAGCTCATTTTCTTCAGTTTTTTTTTTTCCAGCTCTGGCTTCACTCTGCTTTGATATCTAAATGGCTGCCAGCAACTCCCAAGGCTACATGCCTCATTCATCCAAATGTGAGGAGTGACTGTCCATACAGCCATTGAAACACACTTTCAACACTAACTGCTTCCTGAAGCAGTTGCCATGGTAGCAGCTGGGATTTTCCTGATTGCCTTGGACCTCATGCATAGCATCCATCATTGTGACTGAGAATGGGTGCAGTTTCCAGCACCCAAACAGAATCATATCACAGGGTTGGAGGGATGCAGACACAGCACATCCAGATTGGTCAGTGAGTAGCAAGCCTAGAATTGAACTCCACTGTGTTTGATCTCCTTCAGCAGGCAAGGAA